TCCCTTTGACGCAAAGATCAAGTAGAAGTGGGAACTTGTATGACTGCCCATTGATAGCTCGGTTATATAGGAGCTTCAGAAATAATTAGATGGTTCACAAGGTGTCGTAAGTGTCGTATTGTTGTATGTCGTAAAGTTTTTAACGGCTAAATAAATGTTTAGAGGACTTGAAACAGCAAACAACTATTTTTTAACGGTGTGAAATTTCATAATACGACTTTTATGGTAGCTGGCGAATCCTTTAAATATAGTTTTACCAGTTTAAAGATTACGACGTACAACGATACGACAGTATACAACACCTTGTGAACTACCTAAATATGTTTAAAGATCTTTTAATCAAAGATGATAAGTCAACACCTAACGTCGCATCCCCACAGGCAAAAAATATTGACGACAATTTATCATTTTGTTTGCCAGATATACGTTTTATCACTGCACTTGCACAACATTTGTATTCGCAAAAGCTCCGCATTGATTATCGCGAATGCCAGTGTTAAAATTAATGCAGAAGTTCCGCGGTTGCGAATGCGAATATTCGCAACAACCCTGATAAGTATATGCACCTATGTATAGAAGTGTATACTAATGAACATTGAAAAGGTACGTAGGAGCAGCAGGCTAACAGCTGATTTAAGTTTTCAAATTTTGTTTAAATTTTACTCTAACCTGTATACTTTTTAACTTATTTTGACATTCTAGAGTTCAAAAAGTAAGGTAGTTCTATTTTACGACATTCGTTGTTTTTGTTAACTACATATGTGCCTTTCAATAAAAAGGAAAACAGTAATACAGTCTAACAAATTTGAAAAAATATTTTGATAGACGTTTTTGTGCTGATTACGAATCCGTAAGTATAAAGTTTCCATTATTTCCAGATTTTATGAAAAACGTGGTCAAAGTGTCAAAATTTGAGAAGCTCTAGCAAATAAACAAAAGGGTTAAATTAAGCCTTGAACTTTTGACTACAATCCCTGAATATACCATCTCTACACCTTGACCCTAAGGTCACTCATAGTCATTTAATGAACAGTAAAAACTGCTTTATGTCATATGTACTTATGTATGTAATGACATGCATTGGTAGTTTACGTCTACATTTACCCAAATATACGGAATTATATATTACCAAAATATTTCGGGATTAAGAACAAAGTCAAATACTCTTCATCGCTTTAGCACTGAAGAGTCGTATGACGTAATCGTCATTGTGGA